GACTTCAGTCCTCAGCATGCAATGCACATTGGCAGAAGTGCACATGTGTGATAGTGGTGATAAGACTTCAGTCCTCAGCATGCAATGCACATTGGCAGAAGTGCACATGTGTGATAGCGGCGACAGGACTTCAGTCCTCACCATGCAATGCACATTGGCAGAAGTGCACATGTGTGATAGTGGTGATAAGACTTCAGTCCTCAGCATGCAATGCACATTGGCAGAAGTGCACATGTGGCGACAGGACTTCAGTCCTCACCATGCAATGCACATTGGCAGAAGTGCACATGTGTGATAGTGGCGATGGCACTTCAGTCCTCAGCATGCAATGCGCATTGGAAGAAGTGCACATGTGTGATAGCGGCGACAGGACTTCAGTCCTCACCATGCAATGCACATTGGCAGAAGTGCACATGTGTGATAGCGGCGACAGGACTTCAGTCCTCACCATGCAATGCACATTGGCAGAAGTGCACATGTGTGGTAGTGGTGACAGGACTTCAGTCCTCAGCATGCAATGCACATTGGCAGAAGTGCACATGTGTGATAGTGGTGATAAGACTTCAGTCCTCACCATGCAATGCACATTGGCAGAAGTGCACATGTGTGATAGTGGCGACAGGACTTCAGTCCTCACCATGCAATGCACATTGGCAGAAGTGCACATGTGTGGTAGTGGCGACAGGACTTCAGTCCTCAGCGTGCAATGCGCATTGGCAGAAGTGCACATGTGTGATAGCGGCGACAGGACTTCAGTCCTCAGCATGCAATGCACATTGGTAGAAGTGCACATGTGTGATAGCGGCGACAGGACTTCAGCCCTCAGCATGCAATGCACATTGGCAGAAGTGCACATGTGTGACAGGAGTGGAAGGAGACTGCGCTCTAGACCGCCCCAATGTGCACCGGAAGTCGGGCCTGCACAGGCACGCACAATTGTAGTGTGATGTGGGAACGAGCGCCCCCCCCGGGTGACAACGCTGCTCCTAATGATGATCGGGTGCCACCCAGCAACAGGAAGAGGGATTAGGCCTTCTGTACATGGAGGGGGTGGTATTGCTGCAGGAACCCCCACATACAGTGTGCAGGAGACATCATGGCACACAACAATTTCTTGAATGAAAACAAAAGAATTTGCAACACTTTAAGGGGCCCAATGCGCCCCACATATCAGAGCTATGAGAAGGCTGATACAAGTGCAGTCATTCCAGTTTGGTTTGCAGATCGAATATATGTTTTATCATTGCATCTCCCTTCATATAGCCCTGAGGAAGGGAGTGCATTCGACCCCCTGAAATGTGTTGGATCATTCTGTAACATTATCAACCGATAAAGAGATTTACATTAGTAGATAATACTACAGAATAAGCCAACATGTCTTACGGGCCAAAATATTCCTCCCCCTCATGGCTGTAAGAAGGGAGATACAATGTTATAAACACTCAGTCCACTTCCATACACTGTATATCACCCCCCTGGGTCCTAATCACAGGGGGGGCGCTGATCTCCACATTGAAATGTTGCCATTTTGCTTCTATTTCTTTCTTTTTGTTAGTATTTAAAGGAGAACTATGAGGGGGGGAGGGGGGTGCTTTTCACTCACCTCATAGTTCTAGCCGACCTGTGACAATGGGACTGTCACAGGTCGGCTCAGCAGATCGGGAACACATACCGTTCGCTCACCTCTCGATCCTGTCACGGCTCTCTGCTGTGACAGGGGAGGGGCTGGATTCCCCTCTCCCCGCTCCGATCCTCCAGCGCTGACTGGCGGAACGGACGGGGGAGGGGGCGGGTACCTCTGCCTCTAGATAGGCAGAGCCAGCTGTCACTCACGCAGCTGGGCGGATCCCGGCACAATTGTCGGGATCCGCTACAGCGGCGGCGTCTCAGTATACCGCGAGCTGTAGCTCCCTATATACTGAGCCTAGGATGAGGGGAGGACGCTAGTTTGTGTCCTCCAGTTACCCTAAGGAGAACTATGGGGGAAAGCCCTCACCCCATAGTTCTCCTTTAATGGTGTCAGTGTATTGCATTTGATAAGCTGTCATTATAAGGGTTTGATGTTTTTAGATATGTGTGTGTATTTGGATCCGGTAGCAACCCAGTCCGGATGTTACCATTATCCTTGCCCTTGCCTAGTTTGGTGAGAAATGCGTCAGGCGCTGCCCGGTTCATATCCTGGGCTCACTATGAAGAAATAAACATGCATCCTGGCATCTTGTGGCTTGATACTGTGTTGCACTTGGATAGAAGTGTTGCCACTTACTGCCTGCAGGGGGCAATGTTTCATCTCTAAATACCTGAAGAAGTCACATGATCATGCGACTTGAACTCTTTTTATAGCCCTGAGGAAGGGAGAACATTTGACCTCTGAAACGCGTTGATTTTTTTCTGTAGCGTTATCATCTAAGAAAAGGATTTCCTCTGGACCTTTGAAAGGCTGTACTCCCTATTATATTGAAGGCATCTGGAATGTTCTTGTAAACATACTCATATATAATACCCCTTGGATGTTTCCTGCATTGGGCCCTCCTCGACCCTCCAAGCCCCGCCCAGCATCAGAAATCACAGGGCCCACTGCATGATGGCTCAGGCAGCCGTACCTTTACTTAGATAAACAAGGAGGCCACCACTGAAAATTCAAAATGGCTGACTGAACACTGGGTCACCAATCCAGAGCAAGTATGCAGATAAGGATCTCCATACGTGGTCCATGTCAGTGACTAGGACATTTACCCTCACTTCCTGTTGTGTCTGTGGCACAGGAAGTGAACTGAAATCTCAATAATGCGGGGGAAAAAGAACCACGAGATACAACCTGAGATACCGGGAACATTGTTCTCACCTTCATGTGATACATCATCATCTCATTGGCCAGGTGACTCCTGAACTGCGCCTCCCTCACCTGCTTGTACAGCAAGGACTGGGGGGGGGGGGGGGGGAGAAGAAAAGGACAGCACCTTC